GTGGCAGGGTGGATGGGTGCCCAGCCTTCAGAACGTGCATGTAGCCAGCCTGCGCCTGGATACTTATCTCTGGCCACCAGGCCCCGCCAAGAAGAATCCTGGGAGCTGCAAAGCAATTGCTTAGTCGCTGAGCAGCATTTATTAAGCATCTACTGTGTGCCGGGCACAGAATGCAAAGAAAATAAAATGGTCCTTGTCCCTCGCTTCAAGAAGCTTACATTCTAGCAACCAACAGGCATTTATTAAATGCCTACTATGTGCCAGGCACTGTACCAGGCAGTGAGTAAGCAAAGACAAAAATGAACCAGTCCCTGGAGCTTTAAAGGGTCATTTTGGACTTGGAGTCAGGAAGACCTGCTGCGTGGCCATAGGCAGGTCGGTTCATTTCAACCCAGCGGTTTGTTGAGTATCTAGTGTGTGAGGCCCATAGTGCAGAGGGGAAGTGTGGCCTAGTGGTTAGAGAGCAGGCCTCGGAGTCACACACACACATGCAGGCACTCTGCCTGACCCTTTTGGGGTCACTAACTGTCCCAGTGTCCCAGGCTCCTCTCCAAGGGGACATATTCAGAACAGCTGCACATCTTCCCCATTAGATTGTAAGCCCCTTGAGGGCAGGGACTATCTTTTGCCTCTCTTTGGAGGGAGGCCTGGCCTGAAGAGAGCAGCTTCAAGGTCCCTATGAAACCTGAGGCCGGAAAGATTGGCCTTGTTTGCCAGCCTCCCTCTCCCCTGCCTCCTCACGGGCTGGCACTTCCTCCAGCTGTGACGAGTGGCAGGCATGGTACCTGCTCCGGGCCAGTCACCCCTGGGAGGGGGGGGTGCTTCCCGCAGGTTTATTGTGAAGATACAAAGAGGAGGCTAGTGCCTCCGGAAGATCAGAAGCAGCAACAATGAAAAGAATGATGGAGAGAGTGCTGGGGAGGGGCTGGCTTTGGCCTGGGGGCTCAGAGGGCTATGGAGAGAGCCCCTGACTGCCCCATTCTACAGATAAGAAAGCTGAGGCTAGAGGGGCTCAGTGACTCACCCAGAGGAGCAAGGTGCGAGGCTGGGATTCCAGTCTAGGTCTTTACCCCCAGATCTCCTGCCCTTCCCCCTGGACCACACTGGAAAGCCAGGGGACAGACTGTGCCGACCAAGTAGGCCAGATACACCACGTCTCAAAGTCGTGCTTGCTGCAGAGCACGGGCCCAGCCTCGTGCCGGGGACAGGAATCACTGGTCTGTCTCACTCTGTCCCCCTCCAGCCACTAAAGTGACCTTCTTAAAGCAGACAGCTGACCCGCACCCTCCCCACTCACTCCAGGGGCTTCCTATGGCCTCCAGTATCAAATGCAAAATCCTCAGTTTGACATTCAAAGTCCCCCCCCCCCCAGCCCCAGGCGTCTTACCCTTGCCCCGCTGCATGGACTCTTGGGTCCAGCGACCCCAGCCTCCTCACCATTCCAGGAACCAGACCTTCCACCTCTGGACTCTGGGCGCTCTCTCTGGCCTGGACCGCCCTCCCTCTGCTCCATTTATCACCACCCCCACGCCCTCTTCCTTTAGGGCCCCACTAAAATCCCATCTTCTCCAGGAATCCTCTCCCAGCCCTCACAATCCTGCTGCCCTCACTCTGTGAATCACGCCTGTTCTTCTTGTGTGTAACTTCTTTGCACATGTGTGTTTGCCGGTTGTCTCTCCCATTAGATTGTTAACTCCTTGAGGGCATGATCAGTCTTCTGCATCTTTTTGTATCCCCAGCACTTTGCAGTCAGGGGCAGCTAGGTGGCACGAGCCTGGAATCAGGAAGACCTGAGTTCACATGTGTCTTCAGACACTAGCTTTTGAGACCCTGGGCAAGTCACTTCCCGCTGTTTGTCTCAGTTTCCTCATCTGTAAAATGAGCTGGAAGAGGAAATGGCAAACCACTCCAGTCTCTCTGCCAAGAAGACCCCAGATGGGGTCATGAAGAGTGGGGCATGACTGAATCGACTGAGAGCGGGCACTGAGCCCAGGGCCTGGCACAGACGAGGCTCTTGGTAAATGTTAATCGATTGATTGAGTCAGTCTCTTTGCTTTTGGATGCAAAGCAGCCTTTGAACTGTGCCGTAAAAACACCGAATTCTTTCCCTGGGCAAGCTAAATAGACTTATGGAATAAAGGCCGAATAGCCCAGTGAAATTACTGCCTTAGATTCAGAGCTGGATGGAGCCAGTGGTGGGACCAGAGATTTCAAGGTAGCAGGGACCCTGAGGACCCGGATCCAGTGCCTTCATTTCACAGATGAGGAAACTGAGGCCCAGAAGGGGGAAAGTGATCGATCTAAGGTCACACAGGTGCATCCACAGAAGCAGAAGCATGTTCTGTTTGGAGTCAGAGGACACTGGACCTCTCCTTATTGGTTAACCTCTCTGGGGCTGAGTTCAGTGACCTCCAGGATCCCTTCCAGCTCCCCACTGGGGATCCTGTGAAACCAGGGTTGGAAAGCTGGCTCTCTGTCTCCAAAAATAGAGCCCTTTCTTGTTTATTTGGTTTTTTTTTAATCTTTTTTCCCCCAATTGTATGTAAAAACAATTTTTAACATTCATTTTTTAAAATTTTGAGTTCCACATTCTCTCCCTCCTTGCCTCCTCTCCCCCTTCCCCGAGATAGTGAACGATGCGATATAGATTATACATGTGCAATCATGCAAAACATATTTCCATCTTAGTCATGTTGTGAAAGGAAATACAGAACCCCCCAAAGAACACCGAGAAAAATAAAGTGAAATATAGTCTGCTTCAGTCTGTGTTCAGAATCCATCCATCTTTGTCTAGAGGCAGATAGCATTTTCAGTCGTGAGTCCTTTGGAATTATCTTGGAGCATTGAATTGATCAGAGTTAGCCAAGTCTTTCACATTGTGCAGTATTGCTATTACTTTGTATAACATTCTTCTGGGTCTGTTCACTTCACTTTGTATCAGTTCAGATAAGTCTTCTCGAGTTTCTCTGAAACCCTCCTCATTATTTCTTATAGCACAAGAAGATTCTGTCACAATCATAAACCACAGCATGTTCAGCCGTTCCCCAGTGGATGGGCATCCCCTCGGTTTCCAATTTTTTGCTACCACAAAAAGAGCAGTTATAAATATTTTTGTACATAGAGGCCCTTTTCTTTTTTTGTTTTTTATCACTTTGGGATACAGACCTAACAGTAGTATTGCTGGGTCAAAGGGTATGCAAGATTTTATAGCCTAGCACCCTTTCTTCAACACCAAATTTTTTGGTCAATTCAACAAACATGTTTAAAGGCATTTTCCTGACCTTTGACTATTTCCTGACTTTACTGCAGACATTTGGTCCTAGAATCACAGAATCTCAAGAGATGGATTGATAGCAGGATGGGTGGGTAGTTGGGTGGAGAGAGGGATGGATAGATGAAAAGGAGGAAGGAAGGGGAGAGGGAGAGAACGAATACTTAGCTAGAGATATAGATATAGCTACAAAAAAAGGTTATTTTCTCTGACCTCAAGGAGCTTAGATTCTAATAGGAGAGAGAAGCATTGATGACATCCCCACTATGTGCCAGGCATTTTCCTTGGTGCTAGAATGTAAGCTCCTTGAGGGCAGGAATTGTTTTCTTTTTGTAAGCTCCAGCACTCGAACACTGTGCCTGGGCATTTGGTAAGTGCCACATAGATGTCTGTTGTTGACTGATTGATTGATTGGAGATGCAGATATAAAGTAAAAGCTCCAGGCCTTGTTCTGACAGGATGTCCTTGCTGGGACATCTCCCAGAAGCGCTCAGGCCACCCCTTTTCCTTCCCCTGCCACTCTGAAGAGGCTGGATGGGTTTGCCTCCCTGCTGGATTCTTGGCCTAGAGCTCCAGGAGCCACACCTAAGGGCCACCTGCCTGCCTGCCATGAGTCAGCGCAGTGCCCGGCATTCGCCTGGCCTTATAAGGCGAATGCTCCCAGCCTTCCTGTGCTGTAGCCCTGTGTCATTATCACCTGGAATGTTGCCTGCAGAGCCAGAGTGGTGGAAGATCAAGGTCCCCACCATTTCCTGTGCTTCCTGGGCAGTGTCTAGAGAGGGAAATGTGGGCGAGCCCCAAGCAGGTAGAAGTGGGGGAAGCTTGCAGGCTCAGCCTAAGCCCCATGGTGCTCCAGCATCCAGGAGGTGTCTGGTCTACCACCTGTCCTTCTCCCTGTGTGTCTGTCACAGGGTGTCCCCCAGGATTTGGGACAGCCACCCCCAAGGCCTTCCTTCTGTCCCCATTTTTGAATGTCCTTTAATCTGTTACATATTGCCACCCCCAGGGGTGCTGAATAAATGTTTGTTGAATGGAATCTTAACAGAGGTCATGTTGGCAATAATGATGGTTTCTGGCACTTAAGGTTTGAAAAGCACTGTATAGACTTGACCTCATCCGCGGCTCCCAGCGGCCCTCGGGGAGACATGGTGGCGTGGTAACCAGGGAGCCTTCACCTGGGCCCGTCTGTGATACCTGCAGGTTGGGTGACCCAGGGAGGGTCACTCCCCCTTTCTCCAGGGCCCCTGGACACTCTCAGAAGTCTGCCGGCTGCTGAGCCCGGGCTACTATTCATCGAAGGAAGTTCATAGATTTAGAGCCGGAAAAAATCCTAAAAGCCACCGAGCCCAGTCCCCTCATTTTACAGATGGGGAAACTGAGATCCGGAGATGTACAGTAACCTACCCAAAGTCACCTAGCTGCTTTGTTAGCGGAGGTGGCCTTCATGCCAGGCTCTTTGGGTCCAAATCCAAATTCAAAAAGTCCCAGAAGTCCATGAGCAGTTTCCCAGACACCAAGCAGCTTGAGCCATTCGTTTCGATCCCAAAAGCACTCAGGAAGCACCTGCTGGGTGCCAGGCACTCCTCTGCACCCTGAACAGCCACCTCAAGATGCCCCAGTCTCTGGGCAGACACCCCTGCATTTTGTAAAACTGCAAATCGTAGCCAGGCTGTTGACATTTCAAAGAGATAATGTCACTTTCTTTAAAAACAAAAATGTGTCTTTTCAGATCTCATTGTTGAAGATGTCCAGCAAAACTACCAACACCAATAGCGTGGCCCAGGCCCGGCGAACTGTCCAGCAGTTGAGATTAGAAGCGTCCATAGAGAGGATTAAGGTAAGACTAGTCCAGGTTCACAAGTGTGGCAAAGTCCCTTCACTAAAGCGTATTGCAGCCCAACTGTGTCATCTAAGGTGATGGGAGGGAAGGAAATGACAGCTGTGTCCCCTCCACATTTCATTTCTCTGTGCCAGTGGGGGTTCATCCTACTTGGAAAAAGCCCCCCAGAGTAGGAGGGTTCAACGGGAGAGCCTTAATGGTCTCATCCTGCACCTCCAGTTTTTCGTCTCATAAATGCCATCTTCAGTTTAGCACCCGTAGAACAGCTTGGGATGCAATTATCTGACATTGACACCCTTTTCTTTGGTGCCCCTCTGTTCCCTCACTCTACTGCTTATCACCTCAGAAGTGAGGCAGTGGGGGGGGGGGCAGCTAGGTGGCCCAGTGGATAGCGCACCGGCCCTAGATTCCGGAGGACCTGAGTTCAAATCCAGCCTCAGATACATAACACGTACTAGCTGTGTGACCCTGGGCAAGTCACTTAACCCCAATTGCCTAAAAGAAGACAAAATAAAAATAAGAAGTGAGGCAGTGAGAACAGTGTTAAGAATTTGGAGTCAAAAGTTCTGGGTTCTAATCCTGGCTATTTCAGGATTGTTACCTGTGAGTTTGTACAAGTGACTTCACCTCTCTGAGACTCAGTTTCCACATCTGTAAAAGGAGAGGGTAGGGCTAGGGGGTCTCCAAGGTCCCTTCCTGTCCCAGCTCCTATCAAGCGTTAGTTTTGGAGTCAAAGGACCTGGGTTCAAATCCTGATTTTGCTACTGCATGGCCATGAGCCTAAGTTTCTCCATCTGTGAACTGAGGGCCTTGAATTAGATGACCTGAGATTCCTTCCCATTGAAAATCTATGTTACATGACTAATGTGAAAGTACGCTTACTATGAATGTATAGGTACAGCCTGTATCAAATTGCACGCCATCTTGGGGAGGGAGGGAAGGAGAGAAAATTTAGAATTCAAAATCATATGGAAGTGAATGTTGAAGACTAAAAATAAATTAATTTTAAGAAATCCATGTTACAGTGGAAAAATGGGCCCCATATCAGAGGTCCACCGGGGTTTGAGCTTCCCCGCTGATGCTTACCTCCTGCACAGCCTTGGGCAGATAACATCTCTAGGCCTCAGGTTCTTCATCTGCAAAATGAGGGAGCTGGGCAGGATGCCCTGTATCTGTGATCCCATGGTCTCTGGTGGGAAAATCAGACTGAATTATGGTTGATGGGACCAGCGCTCTCCCCTAGTACTACAGGGGTCACTGGATCACAGATTTCCCTGGGCCTGGAGACAGGACACAGACATTTAACTGTTTGACTGACCCTACCCTGCAGCAGTCCTAACATTCTCTCAGGAGGCCGTGGGCAGGTATGAGGATTCCATGGGGCTGAACATTTGAGCCAGATGGTTCGGGTGCCCCCTTCCCAGCCTCCGTCTGGTGGGCATGTCTTTGATTCTGCTGCCCTGCTCTGTCCCTCTTTCCCCCCTCCCCGCCCCTGATGTCTTTAATGATAAATTTAGAAATTCTGGACTTTACCCCAGGCTTGTAGTGAATTGGCTCTGGGCCTAAAACCTTCATTCATTTTTTGAACTTTGTCCCACATAACCAACCTCATTTTGTCTTTTATTCAATAGAAACTAAGACACGTCCTGCCACTGATTCATACGAGTTTTACAAGTTTGGAAATAGACCTTTTTTTTTTTAACGTCCTTCCTTCTATGTTTCTTTCCTTTCACTTTGGTTCCTGTGTCTGTCCGCCAGGTTTCCAAGGCGTCTGCAGATCTCATGTCCTACTGTGAGGAGCATGCCAGAGGCGATCCTTTGCTCATGGGAATCCCGACTTCAGAAAACCCCTTCAAGGATAAAAAAACTTGCATCATATTATAGTGGGTTAGGGAGCCTGCAGGTGCCACCCCTCCATGATCTAAGCAGCTCCATAAAGAAACGTACGTTCCGCTCACTTGGTAACCACTGCTCAAAACAAAAATGCTTTTAACTTGTAAAAACAGACACACACACACACAAAAAATGAGTTTTAAAGCCTTTGTTTTTAAAAGTCTCCCTCTCTTTTAGAGTGTACCCTTTATGAAATGGATGAGAATCAGTCGATTTATTCTTGGTTTCCAGTTGCATGATTAATGGTGGTTATTTCCTTAGGTTGGCTTCACGTTGAAGGAATGCTGGTTAGGGTTGGTTTCTATGTAAATTCATTGTCCGGTGGTCTACTTTTTGATTTGAGGGAAGACCGAAGTTGCCTCCTCCTCTTTCCAGATTCACCAGGCCCACGAATCAGCAGGGCCCATGGCAAATCCAGTCTCTAAAATGCTTCGCTTCTCAGCATCCTTAATCGGGTTAGTGCCTCTCTATGTACAGAACCCAAGTTATGCATGTATTTGGCGTGTATATATGATTTTGTATATATACATTTCAAAGTGCATGTTTTCTAGATCAAAAACGTCTTCCCCTTCTACCAAGGCCCTCCCCCTATTCTAGCCCACCCCAAGTTCTGCCTCTCTCCAGTTGTGTGCCCAGCCGGCAATGCCTCGGTGGTCACCACTGTGTTTGCCTACGGCTCCTGGGTGCCGCGGGTGGCCCGCCCCCAAGAGTCGTTCTTACGATACCAAATTCTGGTCGTTTTATCATCATCCTCATCTCTCCCTTTTGTTTGCTTCTCTGGTCCTCACGGCCTAAATACAAAAGGTGCCAATTTAAGAGAGCGAAAAACAAAACCCTCTTGTCATTTGAGGTGCTATGCTGTGAGGGCCCCCTTTGCTTTACTGGACTCAGCGCAGTCAGGATACAGAATTACAAAATCCCAGAGCCGGACAGTCCAACCCGTGCCTAAACACGTATCCTCTCTGTCATCGACCCAGTCTGCTGAAGACCCTGGACACCTTCTCAGAATTGTTTTTTAGTTCATAAAATAAAATACATAGGATTACAAAGGAAACTAGTTATACTGAAATCCAGTTATCAAAATATTAAAAAAAAAACAAAACAAAACTAAGTTCATGGACCCTAGTTAAGAACCCTTGTTAAGATCTCATCTGACCCATAGCCCATCTACACTGAGTAATGGTCATCCCCCTCTGCTCCAAGACCTCCAGTAAAGTGAACTCACTGTCTCCCAAGGCAGCCCGTTCCACTTTGGGATGACCTCGAAGCTGAACTGAAATTTGCTTTCCTTGTCCTTAGTTCAGGCCATCAAGGCCAAGCAGAAGAAGTCTGATTAGGAGGAGATGAAGGGTATCCATGAGCCCATTGACCAGAGGAGGGAGGGTCCATGAATGTGAGCCTAGTTCTGTCCACAGAGAAGGAAATAATCATCGCACTAGATTGGGGGAGTGCACCTCCTTCCTCAAGTAGATTATTGACTCTCCCTCTCCTTCCCAGGCCTAAATCTTATATGTTTGAAGGGTAGGCTTCATCCTCTGCCTCATCCTAGGTATGTTGATTTGCGGATGGGAAGGTTGTTTGTCAGAAGGAACCAAGAAAGGCCCGAGACGCTGGTGGTGTTCCACTTGCCAGCTTCTTGTCTTCTAGCCCAGTCCACCCACGCTGTTCTTGGAGGTGGGAATAGGCAGTACAACATAAAATTAAAAAAAAAAGAATCACCTTCTCACTCCGCCTCTGTCCCATAGCTGAGGGTAGGATATGCTGCCCTAGATCTTTCTGCTTAGCTTAGAAGGGCCCGGAGTCTGGGCATGGCCCCTGCAGGAAGACCAAGAGGGTCCCTTTACAACTGACCACACTAAACGTTTTCGAATTATAATTCCACTTCCATGGATTAATCTCAGTGCCCTCATCTGTAAAATGCGCATGATCACACAAACACTGCCCCCTCACAGGGTTGCTGTGGGGAGACTTGGAGGCGCTCCAGAACTGTGAGTTATTAGCAAAATTCCTTAGGAATCGGGGGGCAGCGAGGTGGCGCAGTGGATAGAGAACTGGTCCTGAAGTCAGGAGGACCTGAGTTCAAATCTGGCCTCAGACCAAACACTTGACACTTACTAGCTGTGTGACCCTGGGCAAGTCACTTAACCCCAATTGCCTAGCCAAAAAAAAAAAAAATTCCTTAGGAATCAAAGTTGCCCAAAACCTCTCCAAAAAGAATCATCCGTGGGAATTCTTTATAATGGTTCATCAGTAGGTACTGCCCGCTGTTCTTGGAGGTGCCAGCCCCTTTGGAGATCTCTTGTTTCCGTTTTGGGCCTTGCAGTGCTTTGGGGAGAAAACCATTTACATTGTGTGAGTAGTGGTCGTCAGATGGATTCTCCTCTCGTTCCTCTGTGGCTGCTGTTGTGGAGGGTGGGAGCCCCTGCCCTTCTGTGGGGGGGATTCCCCATCACCTCTTACTGACAGCTTTGTGAATATCTGTTCAGCGCTGTCCTTTGTCCCATCCCCAAGTAAATGGTAGACCTCAGAATCCCTGGGTCCAGAAATGTTGGCCTGTTCTTCCCGAACCATTAACTGAGATGTAGATGAGGAAAAACACTCTCAATGTTGCAACTGCTCACATCCTTTTATTCAGTGACTATATTTTTCTAACAACCATTTCAAAACTCTAATCTGTTTTTTTCCACTCTGATTTTTAACCATGTGTCATTAATCATGTAGGATGCAGCCTGTTGCAGAAATATATTTGATGAATTTGAATAGACTTGACTACGTGGGGACGCCATTGAGGGCAGTCACCCTTTATCGCTGGTGTTAAACGGACCCTTTTCTACAACCCCGCTCTCTTATTTCCACTGGCTGAGGTATGGCCCCTCTGCCGTGGTCCATCTGTTCCTTCCACCGGCCTGCTAGAGAGCATCTAGGCCTTCAAGCGTGGGCAAACCTCCCCAACCAGCAATGAAAGCCAAAAGACCCCAGATCTAGACCTTGGCTTCTGGACCAAGATGACAGAGATAGTAACTGAGTGTTGATGTACCTAGAACCAAAAAGATTGTTGATGTACCTAGAACCAAAAAGAGTATATGAGGAAAGATAATATATATGTATATGATAAACAGAAGTACAGAAGTCACTATTATTTAACTGGCTTGATTCCCTTTGTAAGGTTCAGCCGCTCTTGGAGCAGCTGCTATGATGATTTGGGGCAGATGCCTGGGTGTATAATTTTTTTTTCAGCTACCATTGTCATGTTGACACAGATATACATCCACATATGTGTATATATAAACTGTAACCCTCTGGCTTTGTTATCACTGAAGTTCCTACGGGCGTGGGTTCAACGTATGTACTTTGACGGTAGTTTTGCAAATATGCTGTTTTCTTAGTTCATCTCTCTGCCTTCCTTATTCCAACATGTCTGTACAGTTTTTATTTAAACTCAAGGTCTCAGTGCCATGACCATGTGCTAAATAGAATTTATTGGTCCCAAAATCTTTTACAGAAACACATTTTGAACAGGGGAAATATTTTATGTACCAGATAATTAATTAATTAAATGATTGCTCTTTTTTCCTACGAATCTGGTTTTTAAGTTCCCTGGGCTAATTAAAATCAAAAGTGCCATATTCACCTTTTAGAGAAAAAGGTCTGGTGTTTTCTTTCAGCCCAATTGAAACAAATTTTGTACTTTTTTCATCTGTAAACCACCGAAAGAAAAATTTATACCAATACTTGAGTGTATATAAATGTGCATATGTTTTAACAAAATCATAAAGATTTATGGAAATGCAGAGGCATCTTTAAATCTGAGGCGGAGGCTAGAAAAACAAATGGTGGAGGATGTGGTAAGCTGTCTTCTCAGTTCTGTTTTAGCTACCTTTCTAGATTTAAATGAAACGGGAAGAATCTGGTTACCCTGAATTTATTTTTCTTTTGAGCTATACATTTTAAAAGATGCATGGGCTTAGGAAATGAATTCTAACATAAATTAGTCCTTCCTTGCCCTCCCAAAAAAAGATTTTATGACTAAGTGAGTGAGTAAAATTTTAAAAGATCTAATTAGAATAATTATGAGAAAATTGAATCTAGAAACTTCAGATTGAAATTTCCAATTCCTGGCTTATTGGCAGTGGTACAGAAATTTGTCAAATCATCCTTTCTCTGAATCATAAACTATCACAGTTGGAAATGACCCCAGAGGACATCTGGTCCAACCCATTCTGGAGAAAGTTCCCCAGGACAAATTCCCCATGTGTGGTCACCCAGTCCTTGCTCAAAGACCTCCAAGCTTCCCAGACAAATCATTCCAATTTCAGAAAGTTCTGATTGTCAGGAAGATTTTCCTGACCTCAAGCCTCAATTGACCCATTTGCAATTTCTGCCCTCTGGGGCCAAACAGAATAGATCTGATTCCTCCTGAGTCTTCTCTGCCCCAGCCTAAACACCCCCAGTTCCTTCAGTCAGTCCTCAAAATACATAAACTCAAAGACCAACATCCTGGTTGTCCATCCCCTGGATGTTGTCCAAAACTCTGTTTTCAGAGAGACTCTCCAAAAGTTTATTGTAATGGAAATAATAGTGAACTGGGACTGGTCACTGCTAGGTGATTCCCTTTCCTGATCTAACCTTCAGTTTTCTGATCTAAGAAATGACAGTTGAACCAGATGACTTCTGGTCATTCCAACTGGAAAACTCCATGGTCCAATGCTCCTTCCTCTCCCACCACCGCCATCTTCGTGCTGTGAGCATCGCTGTTTCTGATATCTAAATGTTGCTTTTCCCCTCATGTTGTCACAAGCTAACAGCCTTGGAAAGTGTGTGTTCTTGGATTATTTTCTCACAATTGGAAAACCTGACTTTGTTATTTGTGTGGTGATGATGGTGTTTTCTTTTCTTCTGATTTTATGAACTCTGTGACTTTCTGAATGTTCTCTGTATTGTTGATGTAATCCCCCTGCGCGTCCTTTGAGTGTCCCTGGAAATTTGCCTTTGATTTCTAGGCAGTGAGACCTAGCTGTCTTAGAACATTCTTTGACTCTTTGTATGTTGTGTCGTGTATAACCTTGACACTGTGATCATCGTCTGAAAGACTGTAAAAGATGGAAGCATTTCTTTCCCAGCTCATGTGTTCAATAGCACGGATACCAATCAACTGAATTAAAACATCATGGCTTTCTATACTGAGTCAGCCTCCACGTGTCTCTCTGTTCACTGTCCCGGGCCTTCCCATCTCGCTCTCTGCACATCCCCAGGGCTGAGTCTGTGGAATTTGCATGGGGCCAATGGGACTTTCCCAGAGGGCACTGACATTTGAAGGGTGCATTTCCTCCCCAGGCGACCACCCTAGCGGCTGTCATGACCACTGACCCCAGGGTCCTTTGGTCCCCCTCAAGCCTGACACTCACATCTCCATCCCTCCTGCTGTGATGTGGAGCCCCTCTCCTTGCTTCCATCATGGGGGGAGAAGCCACTTCCGGAGTAGTGCCCAGGTCTTTTCTTTCATTCTGGTGGTAATGGGGGGATTATGTAGATTTTGGACACATGCCAGCTGCTCTGATGGGAGTCAAAGGACCCAGGGTTGAATCTCTGCTTATTTCACTTCTGAGCCTCAGTTTCCTTATCTATAAAATGGGAGCGATAATGCTCAGACAACCTACTTCACTGGGCTAGTGTGAGAAAAGTACTCCATAACCTTGCAGGTAATGGAAATAATAACAGCTTATATTCGTAATTTAAGGTTGGCCTTACACACAGTATCTCTTATACATTCTAGCTGTTATTACTCATATTATTGATCCTCAAAACAACCCTTTGAGATGGGTGCTATTATGATCCCCATTTTACCAATGGGAAAACTGAGGCCAAGACAGGTAAAGTGACTTGCCCAGGGTCACACAGCTAGTAAGTATATGAAGCAAGATTTGAACCCAGGTCTTACTGAACACACACACACACACACACACACACACACACACACACTGAAGTGTCTCCTATCTCACTATAAATTATTGACATTGCAAGTGCTGAATGGTGAAGCTATGGGACATTTTTGAGTGATATTGGGAGCCTGGGGGAGGGGTGAGGTGGCCTGGACTTGACTCACAGCAGGTACACATTTTGCTAAACACAATAATATTAATAATCTGACAATAATAATGGGAAGTGGAGCAGCTAATAATAGCATTTGTATAGTGTGTTAAGGTTTGCAGAGCACTTTACACAGACCTTCATCTAGTCCCTATTACCAGCCCACGAGGTAGGTGCTATGATTGTCTCCGTTCCACAGATGAGGTAACTGAGACTGAAGGGGTTAAGTGACTTGCCCTGGTCTACACCATGTCAGAAGCAGGATTTGAATCCAGGCCATCTTGAGCCTGAGTCCAGCCCCATTTATCCGGGTCTTGCTGCCTCTTGGAGAGTGGGAGTTCCTAGCCTCTCTGCCTCCTCCCCAGACTTCCTGCTTGTGCTAATGGGCCCCGGGTCTTCCCATGTCCTGACCTGCCTTCTCCTTTGCTAGCTCAATTCCCTGTACCTTTTTGAAGGGTATAGCCAGCTTGGTAGCTCCAGGTGGGTCCTGGAGTCAAGAAGACTGAGTTCAAATCCAGCTGCAGACACACACTAGTTCTGGGACCCTGGGCAAATCCCTTAACCTCTGCCTCAGTTTTCTCACATGTAAAATGGAGATAATTATAGCCTCCATCTCCCAGAGTCG